AATACTTTGTGCCAGTCAACCTCTTTATCAGGGTGCTGATTTAGTTCAGACTCACCCCCTCCCCCAGCCCCAACATTCATCACGTGAGCTGCAGCTGTACAACTCCATTCAGTATTGGGTGAGTGACTTTTCTGGAATAAGATAAGGTGAGGATGTCATGGTCAATTGTACATGTTGATTACAGTTAAAATAGTGCATCATTCAGATTTGCAGTCAGTTAACATGAAAGAATAAAAGAGCAGTGACAAGGGGAAAAATAGCGTTAGCCAATCAGTTGTAATAGTTAATCGGTTGTTGTTTTTTATCAACTAGCTTGTCAAATGTGTTTAAAGCATTACTGCATGTTAGGGCTGGGTGATATGACAATACATATCGTGGCGATGATATAAAGTGTGAATCGATGGACATTTTTCTAAATCGTTAACATAGATAAGCCTGTTGGGGAAAGCAAATATATCCGTGCAGCTTTTAGTGGGCAGAAATTATTCACTCATTCATTCAAAAGGAAGCCTGGATGAATGAATAATAGAATGTGATGTGCTTGGTGCAATTGCACTTATTATAAGTGTATATGTGTATGTCCTTTATACTTCTATGGCTCTCAATAGATTCAGTGGTTGGAGTTGGGTTAATACTCCCGCCGCCGCAGGATTTCCCCGTTGATTCTGCGTTGCGATCCGCTCTGAACAGCTGAAAGCCTGGGAGACTCAACGCGCTGTCCGGAATGGCGTCTTTCAGCCAGGTTTCCGTGAAACACAGAGCAGCAGAGTTTGAAAAATCCTTATTTGTCTGGGAGAGCAGAAGGAGTTTGTCTGTTTTGTTGGGTAGAGAGCGGAGGTTCGCCAGATGGATGCTAGGCAACAGCGTTCTGAATCCGCGCTGCCTTAGCTTCACGAGCGCGCCGGCTCACTTCCCCCGCCTGCGCGTCCTGAAGCGTTTGATCAGCGCCGCAGCTGCCCCGACTACAATGTCCAGCAAAACATCAGAATAATCGAAAACCGGTGAAATATCGGGTGGTGTGTACTGCCGAATGTCCAGCAATTCGTCTCTGGTGAAACTGATTGCAGGGATATAACTAAAGACAGGACAAACTAACAAAAACATAAAAACAACTGAGGAGCACGCCACAGAGGCAGCCATCACCGTCGGCGCCATCTCACGTAATAATGTAAAAAGCTAATAATAATAAAAGCTGTTGCTATCAAACATTGTTCACAAACATCAGTGTATTGGTGAAGAGATCGATCAAATAGGCCAATTGATGGAAGGTTTGTGAAGAAATGTCATGCTCCCTTGTAAAAGTATTTTTTTGTATTTTTAAAATACAAAAATACAGTAGTTTATTTTGATAGTGTGGCTGCTGTATTTTGTAGTTTATTTTGATACACTTAAAATTAAGGTATTTGGTATTTTATTTTAAAATACATTTTGATGTATCTTTGCCCAACCCTGCCCGTATTATTATTATTTTTTAACTGCAGGGACTCCAGTGCAATTTCTTTGTGTTCCGGGAGGGCTAGCACTAACATGCTTTCATCATCATACGTAAATTTAACTTGTGCAACGATTGGTGGGAACAAACATACCTTCATTAATTATCTTAAAGCTGAAGTCAGAAGTAGTATATATGGCCTGAATAAAGCAAATCAGTATCTTACCAGTAAAGTTTTAAAGGATGACGATTGTAATGGAGGTAAAGACGATTACAGTGACATACAGGTGTCGTTCATTATTAGACATGCGTGAGTCCGTTATTATTAGTGTGCAAATAAACAAACCATGTATGTGCGCTCTCTGATAGCTTTTTGCATGAGCACATTTCAGTATGGTCACATGTCTGGCAAGTGTTTTATAATGGACACTCACTGAAGAAGCGTGTTTTTATTGTGACATTTTTTTCCCTCAGTTTTTGCTGTTGCACTTTATACATAAATTGTGAATTGTGTTCACTTCAGCCTGCTCATATCATGCCTGTCAATCCAGAGCGTGTTTACGTCATGCCTGCCAAACCACAGCCTGTTTACATCATGCCTGCCAAGCCAACGCCTGCTCACATCATGAGTAACACCTTTTTATGCCTGAGTCATCAGCCAAGATGGCCACCATGCCTGCATCATCATCCAAGATGTCTGCCACGCCAGAGACTCTCCATGGACTCCGTGGACTATAGTACCCAAGCTCCAGCGGATAAGACTAATGGCCAGTGTTATGGATCCCCCGTTGTGCTCAGTGCTAGCAGGTTTTAAAGGATGACGATTGTAATGGAGGTAAAGACGATTACAGTGACATACAGGTGTCGTTCATTATTAGACATGCGTGAGTCCGTTATTATTAGTGTGCAAATAAACAAACCATGTATGTGCGCTCTCTGATAGCTTTTTGCATGAGCACATTTCAGTATGGTCACATGTCTGGCAAGTGTTTTATAATGGACACTCACTGAAGAAGCGTGTTTTTATTGTGACATTTTTTTCCCTCAGTTTTTGCTGTTGCACTTTATACATAAATTGTGAATTGTGTTCACTTCAGCCTGCTCATATCATGCCTGTCAATCCAGAGCGTGTTTACGTCATGCCTGCCAAACCACAGCCTGTTTACATCATGCCTGCCAAGCCAACGCCTGCTCACATCATGAGTAACACCTTTTTATGCCTGAGTCATCAGCCAAGATGGCCACCATGCCTGCATCATCATCCAAGATGTCTGCCACGCCAGAGACTCTCCATGGACTCCGTGGACTATAGTACCCAAGCTCCAGCGGATAAGACTAATGGCCAGTGTTATGGATCCACCGTTGTGCTCAGTGCGGGCAGGGAGCCGATCTAGTCCAGGGGTCCCAAATCCACATCTGAGTTCCTGCCACTGTCGTCTGTACTTCCTGTGATGGCAGCTGCCGTCTTCTGTGTATGGGCTGCACAATGGACTCCAGTCCATAAGTCTGCTCCAGAGCCCTCTCCAGTCTATGAATCCTCTCCAGAGCCCTCTCCAGTCCATGAGTCCATTCCAGAGCCCTCTCCAGCCCATGAATCCGCTTCAGAACCCTCTCCAGCCCATGAATCCGCTGCAGAACCCTCTCCAGTCTAGGGCTGGGCGATATGTCAAAAATATCTTATTGATAATCGCCTTAAAAAATATCGTGATATCCAATAATATCGCCTACCCAAGCATCACCTCCACCACGCCCCACCCCCGCTGAGACAACATTGCCGGTATGCACCATAAACACACACCATGTTAAGTTTGGTCTTAATTATTGCCACATTAAAGTTTGGTTTTACTTTTCTTAGTTTGTGCTTAAACTAACAGAAAACTTTATAGTTTTTTTGCAAATGAATTAAGAATTTATAGTGCTATATCTCAGCTTAAGTAAACATAATTATACTGTATACACTGTTTAAAAAATCTGTAAAAATAGGGCACTATGTGCACTGTATAAATAGGCTGTGAAGGAATGTGTGTATTTTAATTATAACTCATGTTTGTGGTTTTTCATCATTATACCGTCTGTTTAAATAAATATTCAGAAACACATGCAGTGCTACTATTTTATTTTTTTTTTCTGTTTAACTTTTATTAAAATGCAGATCAAAATAGAATAGGCCTATACCTTAAATAAGGATAAATTACATTGGAACGCATCTCGCATACAGAGATGCACGTTGCCATTACAGTAGTCAGCGCCGAACAACAGGCAAATAAAATATAAACTGAGGTTACAAAAGTGATTCAGTCAAGATCAGTGAGGGATTTTCTTTTCTTTTGTTCTTTGATTAACATTAATGACTGGCGGCAGCGGCTGCTGTCAATGCACGGATCCAATACACCCTTGTTTTCTTTCTCAACTCTTTGCGTTCACTTAAGACATAACTGATTGTATTAAAGGGATATTTTGATATAATTCTGTGTATAATGGTCCATTCGAATGTGTAAGAATTAGGGCTGGACGATATGGGCAAAATTTATATCACAATATATTTCTTAATTTCGGTCGATACGATAAAATTCCGATATCGATACGAACACTATTAAAAAATGCCTCGTAAAAACTGCCAAGAACGCCCACAACAGATGTCTGTGCAAACAAACTTATGAAAAAAGAATTAACCAAGTCAATGACACCTCATATAAAACCATATAATATTTTAGAAAAAAAAAACAGCACAAATAAATTCACGTTCACCTTTTATTTGTATTTAGCCTTCATACAAACAAGAAATGTGAAATCACTGTCAAATAATCGTCTCAGACTCACCTTATTAATATTAATATATTTACCTTCAAACTATAGGCTAACATACACTACCAGTCAAAAGTTTTGAACAATAAGATTTGTAATGTTTTTAAAGAATTCTCTTCAGCTCACGAAGCCTGCATTTTTGATCCAAAGTACAGCAAAAACGGTAACATTTTGAAATATGTTTACTATTTCAAATAACTTTTCTATTTGAAAATATTTTAAAATGTAGTTTATTCCTGTGAGTTCAAAGCTATAAAGCTTTTTATTTCAGATAAATTCTGATCTTTGGATCTTTCTATTAATAAAAAAAAAAAATACTCAACTGTTTTAAATATTGATAATCAGCACATCGGCATATTAGAATGATTTCTGGATCATGTGACACTGAAGACTGGAGTAATGATGCTGAAAATTCAGCTTTGATCAAAGGAATAAATTACATTTTAAAATATATTCAAATAGAAAGTTATTTAAAAAAAATTAAAAATATTTAAAAAATGTACTGTTTTTGCTTTACTTTGGATCAAATAAATGCAGGCTTGGTGAGCAGAAGAGACTTCTTAAAAAAATCTTACTGTTCAAAAACTTTTGACTGGTAGTGTAGGCTTATTATTCTTATAGATTGAAACAAATGTGCTTTAGCCAGTATAAAGAGTATGAAAAGTGTTCTGAGTTGCTGCAGAAAAAAAAGAACAACAACAAAAACATGTTGCTGGAGACGGGCTTATTGAAAATGCAAACTCATTTGCTGCCAGCAGGAGGTGCTTTGAGAGCGGTAGAACTAGCGGTTTCCCCAGTAATGGCTGCAATCAAAGCAGCTCCGCTCATGAATGCTTCTTTATCAGATAAAATGAAAATGCCATCGACACTTTTCTGAAGACAGTGCTTTCCCTTCAGAGATACATTCATATAAAACACCCGCGACGTGTTTTGATTTTGAAACGTTTAGTGCTCATGTTTATTCAACGAAGTCAAACGCCACAAATAAATCAATGTATGGGAAACACTGGTAATGTATATTGAAATATCATAAATGTGTTTAAAAATCATATCACCATTATTGAAAAAAATTATATCGCGATACATATTGATATTGAATTATTGTCCAGCCCTAGTAAGAATGCGGGAAGAAGGTGTATATAAGAGGTGGCTTTTGTGCGTGTGCTTTGTGTGTGTGTGCGCAGCACAGAAAACAGCGCACGAGTGCAGAAGTGAGTTCTATTTCGTCTTCTTGCAGTTGAATCTTTTGAAATCACAATAAATGCACATACAGGAATCGAGAAGCAGAATCGAAATTTAATTTTATAAGTAGTAATTATATTCCTGACCTTACGCATCTAATCTGATTTCCAAAATTGGAATAGCTTTTCGATTCCCAACCCTCCTACTAAATTGTTTCATTCTTGCATGCAAAAAGACCTGTATGGTGACTATGGGGCTATGTAAAATATGATTATATTATTATTTCTCATTTTTTCTTTCGATAATGTCGATAATCATCTGCTACCTGACTGTTGACATCGACATCGCAATACTTATGAGACATCATCGATATACGATAATATCGCCATATCGCCCAGCTCTACTCCAGTCCATGAGTCCATTCCAGAGCCCTGTCCAGTCCATGAATCTGCTTCAGAGCCCTCTCCAGCCCATGAATCCGCTCCAGAACCCTCTCCAGCCCATGAATCCGCTTCAGAACCCTCTCCAGTCCATGAGTCCATTCCAGAGCCCTCTCTAGTCCATGAATCTGCTCCAGAACCCACTCAAGCCCCAGAGCTCATTCCTGCGTTGTTGCCAACCTGTGAGTTTCCTGCCTGTCCTGTTTTGACCACAGTGGTCACATGTGAACCCCCTGCCAGTCTTATCACATCCAAGGAGGCTGTCTCTGAGCTCTCAGCCTGTTCTGTCATGGCCAAGGAGGCCGTCCCTGAACTCTCTGCCTGTCCTGTCAAGGCCATGGTGGCCGCTCATAAACTCTCTGCCTATCATGCTACGGCCACTGAGGCCATTCAAGGATGTTCTGCCTGTCATGTCACGTGCACAGAGGCCGCTAACAAACTGTCTGCCTGTTCTGTCACAGCCAGATGGTCTGTCCATGTCTCTGCTCCGCCATGGCCTCCTGACCTGTGGTGGTCTTCTGCTCCGCAGGCTTCACCTTGGTCACCTGCTACGCCCTGACTTCCTGCTCTGCCGGCTCCATCCTGGTGGTCATCTGCTCCACCGTGGGGATCCTCGGACCCACCTGCTCCACCGTGGGGATCCTCGGACCCACCTGCTCCACCCTGGTGGCCCTGGCTTCCTGTTCTGCTGGCTCCACCATGGTTTCCACCACTACTCCATGGTCCAGACCACTATTGCTCCATGGCCTATGGTCTTGCCCTCTACTCCACAGTCCATGGTTTCCATTATTCCATTATTGCTTCTTAGATTTTGTTTCTTGTTTAGGTTTTCTTGTCTTTTATTTTGAATTTTCTTGTCTTGGTTCCTGCCTTGTCATGTGTTTCCCTGACCCTGTCATGTGATCCTGCCATTGGATCCTGTTGTTCATATGTCTTGTTCTCATTGGTTCGTAACTGCTGTTGGTGAGTTTGTCCATGTTCATGTTCTTGTTTTGCCTAGCCAAGTCAAGCATTGTTTTTTGTTTATGTGCTCACTTTTGGATATAATAAAACTGCACTTGGGTTCCTTCAACTTGCCATCAGTGGACATTCATTACACATTTGTTATTAGTGTATATTAAAGGCGAGTATAATGACTGAAATATAATTTTAAGGCACTTTTTTATGATTTACCTCTATTTCAGGCCTCTAGTTCTAGTATAGATGTAGCATATGAAACAATAGGAAGGATTCATTGGGTCCCCTGGAGGGCAGATATGATTATAGGGCAGCATTCAGACACTTCTCAGTGCCACAGCTCTCTCCTCTCTAACTTTAAAAAAAATATTTTAAGTTTTCCCTCCACAATGAATCATACTCGGACTCTCTCAGTCACCGATGTACCTTTGTGACTCTCCCTTCATGTTATTTGAAAAAGAAACCTCGGAACGAAATCACTTCTTTTCAGCTCACTGAAATGCGATCATTCATCTCTCGCACCTTTTCTAGCCTTTCCCTTGAATCTGCTTTTGGTGACAGATGGCCTGATGCTTCATTGATTATTTATGCTTTTGAGGCTTGTATGTATTGGACATTCTTGGGGTTTTGCTCTGATCTATAGATGCTTTCTTCCGAGTTTAAACCAAATCTCATATCTAATATTAGACTAGATCATGTCATAATGAATTTCAAATGAACCAAGCCATATTTTTTGCATCAGATGTTGCATTATGGGAAAATAATGCATAACTAAGAGGCTGTATTTTGATGTTTTTCCAAAATTGATCTATAGAACCAGAAGAACAAACTTGCAGATGTTTTTGGCCATTTAACTCTATACTGTAAAGCCTAAGGTTTGTTATTTTTTTAGCAAATAAATTGCCTTTTAATCTTATTCTAAAAAAAAAAACATGCCCTTCAGGTTGTAGTAGATGTGTCTTCTTGTTGTGAAAACTTTACTTATTTAATGAAGTTAACGTATGACTAACTTTTATATTGTTAGTTATATTTCAATATGGATTTACTGGACTGAAGCAACTTGGATTGACTTAATTATTAATACATTATTATTATTATCATTTTAAATAATGTAAAAATGGATTACCGTATTGACCCGAATATAAGACGAAGTTTTTTTCTTGGAAAAACATCTGAAAAAACACGGTCGTCTTATATTAAGCGTTTAGACTTTGACATGTCAATAATACACCCAGAACAATAGGTGGCGCCAAATACGCATAAAACGAGTGTGCCATGAAATACGTAATGTAATGCGTGTTGTAAAGATTAAAAACAAACGCGAATAAAAAAAAAAATGCGAA